CCGCCCCGCCGGGGCCCCCGCCCGGCCCTGCCCGCGCCCACCGCCCCTCCCGGTCCCCCTGGCGGCCGCGGCGCTCACGGGCAGACGCGGGGCGATCTCGGCCGAGCAGCAGTGGCAGAAGAACCGGCCCGGCTGCGGCGACGCCTCCGCCATCTTCCCTGCCCGCCCGGCCCCGCCCCTGCGCGCGCCGCGGCGCCGACGGCGGCCGACGGCGGACACGGGGCCGCGCGCGGCACAAACGCGGAAGCGGAGGGGCGGGGCTGAGGGGGGCTCGAGGGGCGGCTCCGCCCCCCGCGCGCGGAACGGCCCCCCCCCCCCCGACACCGGGGACCCTTCGATCCTTCGATCCCTCGATCCTTCGATCCCCGTCCCTCTCTCAGCCCCACCGGACCCTCGGGCTTCAAAATATCAGCTCATAAGCTGACTGACATATTTAGTTAGTTATTTTCTCTTTAAAGAGAAGGAAAAAAGAGCTGGGGAGAGATTGAGACCCCTCCCCTCAAAAGGGGTATTCCCAGTGAATATCCCAGGATTTGCTTAAGACTGCAGAAGCCACAAAGGAACGGGGATGTTCCGTTTTGGCAGAAGCCTCTCAAGTAGGGTATTTGTCCCAGATTTCACCCCTTGGATGCTGGCAGTGCTGGGGAGGTTTTAGGGGGCAAGAGGTGGAATCTCTAATTTTAGGGGCTAGGAATCCCGCCTGGGGCTCAGTTCAATGCCAGGGTGTTCCCCAGGCTGCAGCTTTTGAGAGAGCAGGGGGTCTGCCTGGCCCTCACTGGGGTCCCAACTCCACGGGCTGTTGCTGAGCCGGGGTTTTGGGGTGGTGTGTCTGGGGGAGGTTTGGGGTATCCACACAGCGTGGCTGTGGGCTTTTGGGGTGGTGAGGCTGCAGGGGGGTTGGGAGGGGCAGAGCTGTGGGGTTTTAGGGGTTCTGCAGGGTGGGGCTGTGGGGTCCGGGGGTTCGAGCCCGCGGCACCAGCCCCGCTCCCAGCAGGTGGCATCTTCAGCCCAGGATTTGCTGCTCCGGCTCCGTCGGGTGATGGAGCCGGGGAGGGATTTGTGGAGCAGCTCAGGAGCCGTGGAAAGCTCGGCGGGTCTCCGCTCCCTCTGCTGCGGGGGGACGGGGACACGGTGAGACGCCGTAAACTGGGCGCTGGTGGGACAGGGTTGGGACAGGGCTGGGTCACCGGTCAGCGGCCGGGAGGGCTCGGTGATGGTGTGGGAATTGCAGCCGTGGGACAGATTGGCAGCGCTCAGCAGCTGATCGATGATCCCGGACACTGATAAGGCACGTTGGCATTAATTTACAGCCGATGAGGAAACGGCTGCTCCCGTAACCCTTTTATTCGGGAGGTGGGTCCAGACGTGGAGCCAGACGGAGCCCGGAGCCTCCTCGAGCCCGCGGCCCCGGATGGGGCATTTCGTGCCCCGAGGGAAGCTCCTCCTTACCGGTGTTTCTCCGTGCCCTGTCTCGAGGTTGGAGGACAAGTTGCCGCTTGATCAAATGGGTGCCGGGTGCCTGTGGGATGGGGAGGGAAGGATCCGACTCCACTGACTTTGTCCCTCTGGAATTCCCTGACGCAGGAACTGTGGAAGCTGAACGTGGCAACACTCGTTGGGATGCAAATGGCAGCGGATGTGAACGCACTTGGAGATAAGGGCAGCAGAGCGGCTGCAGCCCCACTGCCTCTGGCACACAGCAGTGGGAAGGGCCCCCAAAGCCCCCTGAACTCCTCGGCTGTTGGGATGTGCTTCTGTGGGGAGAAAGCTCCACATCAGTACCGCAGCCTCTGCCCGTGACCTGCAGCCCCTGGGCACAGGCAGAGCCCCCTGCCCATCCCTCATCACTGGTGCTGAACTCCCCTTTCTAGGGGGTTGAGGCCCTGACTTTGGCCCCAGCCACAATTCCCCCCCACGGAGGGCACGAGGGTCCCTGGGCAGGGGCAGCCCATCCCTGTCACCCCTCAGGCACCCCAGGATGGTGGGTTCTGGGCTCAGCTGCCCCCTTCCTCTGAGGGAGCTGCCTCTGGGCGGGAGTAAATTTGAGTCACCCAGGGAAGGATTTTCCCACGGTGCTGCAGAAAGGCAAACTGCACCCTCACCCAGGAGAGCTGACGAGGAGGTGACACCTCCCCACCTGGTACCGAGTCATCCTTACACAGAGCCCGCTCCCAAAGTGCCCGCCCTGCTTGGGTGAGGGAGGGCAGTGGAAAATATCCCGGGGCTCCCGATGTCTGAGGGGACAGGACAGGGTGGGAGGCTCCTCTGGCAGCTTGGAGTCACGATCCACCTGCACTGCTCAGTGGAGGGGACAAGTGCCTGTCTGGGACCCCAGACAGGGGGTCCCAGGGATTCATCCTGACCTCTGGACCCTGTGCTCCTAAACAAAGCAGTGGCTGGAGCTGAAGCCCCCGTGCTGCCTGGCTGTTGGGTGTTTGGGGTACAGCTCCTTGTCCCAGGCTCTGCCTTGAGCCCTGGGAAGCACAGGCACCTCCTGGAGCCGGAGCAGCTTCCAGCACGGTTCCTGCCAAGTGAGAATAACTGGTGCAGCTGGTCTCCCTGCTCCCCTCCACCCAACATCATATATAATTGCCTATTTTAATTAATAAATTGGAGGCCACTCAAAGGAAAGTGGCGAGATTCCTCACAGACACTGCAGGGATTGTCTGCCCGCCCCAGGCCAGTCGTGTCATGGTGGATTTGAATCGGTCTCCTTTGAATTTCTTCAGACAGATCGTGAGATTTACACCCTCCACCTCGTCTCCTGGAGCCTCGCACCTCCAGGCTGTGGGTCTGGATCCCACCTGGCAGCGCTCCGGCAGCTCCCGGTGACCCCGGAGCAGCGGCACAGGCCGAGCCCCAACCTCGCTGCTGCCAGGCTGTGAGTGCTGAGGGGCACTGGCAGCGGGTGGCCCCCAGCCCTGCACGGGCTGGTGGCATCTTGTCGGCCCTGCTCTGGTCCCCCTGTGCCATCCCAGTGGCCCACCTGTCCCTGGGAGCAGCCAGGGCACAGGGGCTCAGGGGGAATTCACGGTCCCTGGGGGCTGCTTTTGGGCTCCACCAAAAATTTCCCTTTTCTTTTTTTTTTTTTTTGGATTCTTTGCTTTTTTTATGCTTGATTTAAACCATTGTTCTTCAAGGGAAATTTTAATACGAAAAACATGTTTTTCTACCAATTGCCAGCCTGGGCCAAGCAATCAGGCTCCCTGTCTGACAGGGGCTGTGTGGCAGATGGGGGCTTCAGGCGGGACATGACCTACAGTGGCTCTGCCCTTCAACGGCCCAGGGGACTGGGAACCTGCAGGGCCACCAGACTGGCGGGGCCAGGATGCCACAGCCCATCGTAGTGCCAGTGGGGTCTGTGTCCTCCACCTGGCTGGAATGGGAGGAGGGCAGCCAGCAGCCTCACTGTCCCATCCCGATAACCAGCACCTTGCCCTGGGAACAAAGATCAGCAGAGCAACCGCTGCCCTTCCTGGTGCAGCTCTGCCTCCTCCCTCAGCGCCTCTCCCCAGCCTCGCCGAGGAGCCAAAGGACTTTAATGACCCGGGAGGTTTTCCCGACTCCCGGCTCTGCTGGACCCAGTTCAGCCCCACACGGTTTCCTGACGTTCCTCAGTGCTGTCAGCTCTCCCCTCGAGGCTGGGTTTGCTCCTGCCCTGCACCACGGAGGAGGCAGTGACTGTGCTGGGAGCTCGTGTGGCTGCTGGTGCTGACTCACAGCTTGTTTACACACACCCCTGTGTCACACGTGCGTTTACACACACACCTGTGTCACACGTGTGTTTACACACACCCCTGTGTCACGCATGTGTTTACACACACACACCTGTGTCACACATGCATTTACACACATCCCTGTGTCAC